AATCCATACTGAAGGCTGTGGTCTTTGATCTTCATCAGTATTTCAAATTCTCTTTGCTTCCAGCAAGCAAAGTTGCATCATCTGCATAAGTGCAGGTTGTTAACGAGTCTGCCTCCCATCCTGATGCCGTGTTCTTCTTCATGTAATCCAGTTTCCAAGATTATTTGTTCAGCATATAGATTGAATAAATATGGTGAAAGGATAAAACTCTGACAAATGCCTTTCTTAATTTTAAATTACTCAGTAACCCCTTGTTCTGTTCAAATGACTGCTTGTTGGTCTCTGTACAAGTTCTTCGTGAACACAGTGAAGTGTTCTGTAATACCCATTCTTCACAATGGGATCCATAGTTTGTCATGATCCAGTCTTCCCCTGGCTTCGTTTTGACTGATGACGTTGAGCTTCTTCACTGTCTCTTCCCACAAATGTAGTCAATTTGATTCCTGTGACGGTATTTGCAGTGGATAAATTATGTGATCTCCAGCATCATGTCTATCACCAAGGTCATACCTCCCACCACTGATTCTTCCTCTTTGTTTCCAACTTTTGCATTTCTAATCACCAGTAGTTATCAATGCATTGTGATTACATATTTGATCAATTTCAGACTGAAGAAGTTGGAAGAATTCTTCCATTTCATCATTACTGCCTTTAGTGGTTTTTGCATAAATTTGAATAATAGTGGTATTGACTAGTCTTCCTTGTAGGGTATGGATATTATCCTATCACAGACAGCATTGTACTTCAAGATAGATCTTGAAATGCTCATTTTAACAACGAATGTGATGCCATTCCTTGTCAATTTTACAATCCCAGCATAGTAAATCATATGATTATCAGATTCAAGATGGTCAGTACCAATCCATTTCAGCTCACTGATGCCCAGGATAGTGATCTTTTTTTTTTTTTTTCCCCACTTTTATTTGCATTTTATTTTAAGCTTAATTTACTCCCGAGTTATAAGTTTTTGTTTCTTCTGTTTTTTTTCTGGGATATTTTTTCTTCTGTGCAACCTCCTCTTCTGGTTTAGGAATAATTTGCTCCTTTTCAGTGAGGATCATCTCAATATGGTAGGGGGAGCTCATGTAGGGGTTGATCCAATTATGAGCTCTGTAAATTCAGTAGCCCATCTTGGCGGGCTTTGTTGACCTAGATGTGCTCAATGACCAGAGACTCCACATCTAAATCCTTAAGGTCAGCATTGTTCTGCATTTCTAAGTTTGTTTAGTAAAAAATTAGCACTCTTTTTTGGGCTACCAAACCTGTGTCAAACCCTACTGTTTGGCCTGGGCACACCTACCAATACCACCACTCTAATTTCGGAATGGTACACATTGCTTCTGCAAAGTGACATCTTTCAGATATTTGGTGGCTTTTCAAATATGCACACCCTTGATGGCCTGAGCCGTTTCACTGGTGCTCTTAAAATGGACCCGGATTGCTGAGCCTCTCAGTTTGCATCATTTTTTTCTTCTTGGCATAGATGAATAAGTGCCTCCAGTTTGTTGAAAGATTTTGATTTGTCTTCCATCAATTCCCAGAGCCTATGCCTTCAATGCACCTTGGACTTATTCCTTCAGTATCATCAGCTCTTGATCTTATGCTACCTCTTGAAATGGTTGAACATCAACCATTTCCTTTGGTACAGTGTATTCCTTCCATCTGTGTATTCCTTCCATCTTCTTTAGCTACTTTCTGCATCATTCAATAATTTGCCCAGAGAATCCTTCAATACAGTAAGTCGAGGCTTGAAGTTTTCTTCAGTTCCCTCAACTTGAGAAAATCTGAGTGTGTTCTTCCCCTTTGGTTTTCTATCTCTATGTCTTTGCAATTTGAAATTTTCTTTCAGCTCTTGTACTTCCTCACTTCATCCACTTGCTTTAACATCTGTTCGCTGGAGAGCAAGTTTCAGAATCTCTTCTGACATCCATTTTGGTCTTTTCCTTCTTTCTTGTCTTCTTAATGACCTTTTGCCTTCTTCTTGTATGATGTTTTTATATCATCCCACAACTCTTCTTTGGTCATTAGTGTATAATGCATCAAACCTGCTCTTCAGATGATCTCTGAATTCAGGCAGGATATATTCAAGGTCATATTTTGGCTCTCATAGACATGTTTTCATTTTCTTCAGCTTCCTCCTACATTGCATATGAGCAATTGAATATCTGTTCCACAGTCTGCCCTAGCTTTGTTTTGGGTAATAATATGGAGCTTTTCCACTGTCTCTTTTCACAGATGAAGTCAATTTGATTTCTATGTATTCCATCTGGTGAGGTCCATGTGTATAGTTATGTTTTATGTTGTTTAAAAAAGCTATTTGCAATGAACAAATCATTGGTCTTGCAAAATTCTATGCAATCTTCAACATCATTTATATGACTAAGGGTCATATTTCCAACCACTGACCCTTCCACTTTGTTTCCAACCTATCAATTTGCATGATTTTGTGAGATTTTCTGAGTCAAGTGAGTAGCCGAACCATTTTGTGAGATTACCTCAGGCCGCTTACAGGAAGAGCCCAGGATATTGATCTTTATGTCTTCTGTTTCATTTTTGATGACTTCCAATTTTCCTAGTTTCACACTTTGTACATTCCATGTTCCAATTTTTAATGGATGTTTCTCCTTATTTTGAGTTGTGTCCCAAAGTCTTTACTCTATTCGCATCATCACGCTCAAGTCTACTTTGAGGAGACAGCTCTTCCCCAAACACGTTTTGAGTGACTCTCAGTCTGAGGGGTTCATCTTCTGGCGCTCTATCCCACATGTCCCACTGCTACACATAAGGTTTTCAGTAGCTAATCATTCCAAAGTGGTTTTCCTCTCCTTCGTCTTAGTCTGTCTTAGTCTGAAAGCTCAGCTGAAACCTGTCCACCATGGGTGACCCTGCTGGTATTTAAAATACCCGTGGCATAGCTTCCAGAATCCCAACATGCAAGCCAACACAATACGAGAAACTGGTGGATGAATAGTGTATCTTCCTGTGTATCTGATTATTATTCTACTTGATTCTTTGTCTGTTTTCTAGGCATTTGGTCATGTCAGTGTTGTATTTGGTTGTGAATTTCTGAACAGCAGAAGCCTGGACTGAGCCTCTTAGTCCCATAGCTCGGTGGCTTCTCATAAATGCCTCTTGGTGGTGGTGATGATGATGGTGGCAGGCATTGCAGTCTGAGGGCCTCAGGCCCCTCAGATGAGCAGCCAGTATACAGTTGGAAGCTTTCCTCCAGAGCACTGAGCTTTGTTTGTTTGTTTGTTTTCCCCTGCCTTCTGTTTCAGGCCCACCTGCCATTTGCTGTCGTTGGCAGCACCGAAGAACTGAAGATCGGTAACAAGATGATGAAGGCGCGGCAGTATCCCTGGGGCACAGTACAGGGTGAGTGAGTCTCCAGGAGAGGGGTCACACTAGGGGTGTCCCCTAAGTGTCTTTGCATGTCTCCAATCATTTTGATACAAATCCCTAACTTGTCCCCACTTGGGCCGCAAGCCAAGGAGACACAAGGGAAACAGACTCTGGCTCTGTACCTAGATTCTCTGGCATCAGCAAGTTCCCCTTGTTTCAAATGAGCAAGCCTTCTTAAAAAAAACAACAACAACAACAAAAAACATGTACTTCGAGCAAGGTAGGAAGAGATGTGCAAGAAAGCATGCTGGATACCTGCCCAAAGGCACCCGGAGACATGGACAAGAAATGTTCCCAGCAGTGTTGTTCAGGCTATCAAATGTCCATGAAGATTCAATCAGCTAGATTGTGTTGTATTCATGTGATGAGATATTATACAGCCATGAAAAGAAATGAACTGCAGCTGCTTCTACATCTTAGCAATATACTATTGAATAAAAGAAATCACAGAAGAGTGATTCATTCCTTTATATGAATTCCAAAAGTAGGAAAAACTAAAACCAAAACCCAGATTGTCATAGTACCTGCACTGCTGGCTGGGCAGACATCCTGAGACACCAATACTTCATCCTCCTCCTCACCCATGCCACCTCCAACCTCTCCTCATTTGGGCCCACAGAGAGAGACCCTGAAAAAGAAAGAAAGAAAAATTCCAGTTGCCTTTGAGTAGATTTCCACTCATGGAGACCCCCGTGTGTCATAGTGGAACTGCACTCCGTAGGGTTTTCAAGACGGTGATCTTTCTGAAGCAGATTGCCAACCTTTTCTTCCAAGGCACTTCTGAGTTTTGACCGCTTTACCATTTGCACCGCCAGGGCACCAGGGAAAACTGAACAAGATGTTTATTTTTAGGAATTCACATATAAGTGGTGAAATGATAGAGAAAAATAAGGTGTGATGATCCCAGAAGTTTGGATTGTATCGGGTTTCCAAGGAGTGGCTGGTGAGTTTGAAATGCCAACCTTAAGGTTCAAACCCACCTTGAGGTCGAGTGCTTATCCTATGGTGCCACAAGAGGACTCTGTATCTTATTGGGGGGGGAAGGAAGAGTTTGTAATAAGGAAGGGGCACACAGGGGGCTTCTAAGGTTCTGGTAGCTGATAGGTCAGCAGTTCAACCCTACCAGCTGCTCCTTGTAAACCCTATATCAGGTTGCTATGAGTTGGAACCTACTCAATGGCACAACGACAAAGGATATATGGGTGTTGTTGTTTTTTAAATTTTTAAGATATAACATACATATTTCATGTGTGGTTATTTCACAATTTATAAATAATCACAAGTCTTGCATATAGACATACCGCATAGATATTGCCGACTCTATTCTAAACCACCTTAATAAAGCAGTGTTTTTTGGTTTCCCAGTGGGTATAAAAGTTAAATGCTGACACTGTACTATATATACGCTATTAAGTGTGCAATAGCATTATGAGAACATTTGAAATATTATGAGGATGACCAAAATGTGACCCAGAGACACGTAGTGAACACATGTTGTTGCAAAAATGGCCCCAAGAGACTTGCTCAATGCTGGGCTGCCACAAACCTTCAATTTGTTTCAAACAAACAAACATACAAACAAAAACTCACTATCTGTGGAACGCAGTAAAGCGGAGCACATTAAATGAAATCTGCCTGTTTACACTCAGGAAAGTTCCTTTTGTGCTCTGCTTCATTAAGTTACCTTCTGGTCATAGGCGTGGGTGGAAGAGGTCTCTGGTCCTCAGAGCCTTCTGCCTATAAGCAGAAGTGACTACCTCAGAGTAAACTCATCCTACTATTGGCCAAACAACTGCAAGTAGTCCACCTCACATGCAAAATTGGCACATTTTAGGGCATATCAGGGACCTACTGGCAATAATTTCTCATAGGTAGGACAAGACCAGATACCAGACCAATGCTAAGTTTTCTTCTTCTCTCCCTTGAGGGACGGGAGATATTCCACTAGGAACATATGCAAATGCTTTCTGGACTAACAGTCCCACCTAAGGAATGATTTTGTGGCCTGAGAAAAAGGAACCTAAAGTGAGATGAGAAGCCTGTTAGGTGGTTCCAATGACTTCTTCCAACTGGAACTTCCCCATACCTACCCAAAAATAGTGCTTTTGAAAGGTTTTCTATTTTCTTGTCTGCTTGTTAGAGGAAGCTGTGTCTGACTGAGCAGGCAGCGGAGGTCTTGACTGACCATCAGGGATGGAGGAGTAGATGATCTACAAGGGGGCTTCAAAAAGTTTGTGAAACAATTCCAGTATCTTTTAGTTCCATCTTTCCACGAACTTTTTGAAGCCCCCTCATATTAAGTAAACCTAAGAAGTTACCTTACTGATCCAGTTACTAATATTAGCTTATGTTCTATGACGGGTGGCAGGTTTTATGCTGAAGACAATGAATTTTAAGCAAAGGAGTTATGTGAGCTGATTTGGGGTTTGAGAAAGATTACCCTGATAACCACAAGACCATCTGCTGCAACTATGCCCACACCCTATCACCCCAGACTCCCTCCCTGCCCTTACTACCCTCTCCCAGACACTGCAAGATAGAATCTGAGATCACTGTGTCTGTTCATCATCTCAGACAACACTCTCCCTCTGCAGTCAGGCCAAATACCAACATTCCAACACAGTAAAGCCACCCCAGTAGACATCTTGACATAACATTGTCTGTGCCTTTATATTCCAATAGGCAATTCACATTGCGAAGATTTGGTCCTTACCTCTGTCATTCTTGGGTGCCACCCTACATGCACACTGTTTAGTGAGGGGACATGTTCACCCTGTCTGCTTTGTCCTACGCACCTTTGATGCAGTCAGGCATCATTACCCACCCTTTCAGAAACCACTTCCATTGAAGCTCCTGCCATCCAGACAGACCCTATCTGTGGTCCAACGGCCCTCCTCATCACTGTCATGTAATGATGGCCTCATTCTACTCCATGATTCTTGGGAGACTATGGCACCTGGCCAAAGTCTTTGTCTCTTCCGTAGTTCCTAGTTCCTGCCTTTGAATCCCAACTCTGTCATTTACTTGCTATGTAACCTTCCCAACCTCTTTGAGACCTGGCAAGGATTATTCCTTTATCGTCCTGATAAATTCCTACTCTTGGTTCAAGAGTCATCTTAAGGTTGTTTCCTTGGTGAAGCTTAAGGAGGCCCAGGTACAGCGCTATAGGATAAGCACTAGACTGCTAACCACAATGTCGGTGGTTCAAACCCACCAGCCACTCCTCAAAAACCTTATACAAGGTTGCTATGAGTCGGAACCGACTCGATGCCACGTAACAACAACAAGGAGTCCTAGGAGATCTTAGGCCCCTCCTTTACTGAGCTTTTCATGCCCCTTGACTAGACCTCCAGTTCTGTAAATTTTACATTATTGTATTTGTTGATGAGCCCTGGTGTGGCGCAGTAGGATAAGCACTAGACTGGAAATGCTGTATAGGGTCACTATGAACAGGAACCGACTCGACGGCATACAACAACAATATATTTGTTGACTGGCATCTATTCGTCCTCATGACTTCATTTCTGAATTCCGGTACCTCAAACACAACTGAGAATCGAATGGATGAATGCACATTTGCTGTTGTCCTATGAAGATTTCTATGAGGGTTCTGATTAGTGAACTAGGGTTGAGGTGCTGCTGAATGTCTCCTAGCAGTACTATTCTCCATGGAGTCCTGGTGTGGCGCTGTGGGTTGATGCGCCAGACTGCAAAGCCATTTGAACTGCAAGGTCAGTGGTTCAAGCTCACCAGCTGCTCCTCTGAAACCCTATACAGGGTTGCTATGGGTCGGAGCTGACTCGACGGCACTTAACAACAACAACAACATTCTCCATTGCTATAATTTTGGTAATTTTTCATGCGCATTTCCAATAGCAAAGTGAAGCCACTGCATCCATTTCTGCTTCTGCCGGTCTTCCTTTCAATATCCTTCCAATACCCCATCCTCTGCTCTGCAGTTGAAAACGAGGCCCACTGTGACTTTGTAAAGCTGAGAGAGATGCTGATTCGGGTCAACATGGAGGATCTCCGGGAGCAGACCCATACTCGGCACTACGAGCTGTACCGCCGCTGTAAGCTGGAGGAAATGGGCTTCAAGGACACCGACCCTGACAGCAAACCCTTCAGGTACCTCTCCCTCCAGCCCAACCAGGTTGTGTGCAAGCCTGACCCTGGAGAATCCACCTGGGAGGTGAGATGTGGGTGCTTAAGACCATGAGGAGCTGCGGTAAGTCACTTGGTATTTCCACTTGCCAATTCCCAATCTGACAGGAGAGCAGTGGCTGGGCAGGCTTGTGAGTGAGAAAGGGACAGCTTGGGCCTTGTTCTGCAGAATGGCCCTTGGTGGCTATCCTCTGCCTGGTTTTCTTCATCAGACTCCTGCTGAGCTCTCAGGGTTCCAGCCTCCTTCCCATGAGCCAAACCAGAGAGAACCAAGTGGGCAGGTTACGCTTAGTGGTGAATCACAGGCTTCTCTTTCACTGTCCTTTGAGTCTCCATTCAAGTGTCCATTTCGTTTTGACTACAGAACATTCATAGTCATTGATTGGCATGCTTATCCTACAATGCCACCAGGGCTCCTTAATCCTAAGATGTTGTTATTTTTGGGTTGTTAAGTGCTATCTAGTCAATTCTAACTCATAGCGACCCTGTAGAGTGTTTTTGAGGAGTAGTGGGTTGTTTATGAATTGGGCTGCTAACTGCAAACTTGGAGGTTTGAGCCCGCCAGCCACTCCATGGAAGAAACGTAAGGCTTTCTGCTCCCATAGAGATTTGTAGTCTCAGAAACCCTATGTAGGGTGACTAGGAGTCAGAACTGCCTCCACAGCACACAGACACTAGCACCAAGGGAAACAAAACACCTAGGACTTGAGAGGAGTTAGAGATGGTTCGTGTTTGGGGGCTTGGCCAAGCAGGTGGTGGGGGGGGGGGTGCCATGAACTTTGAGAGAACACTAGAGGAGGAGTGTGCTGGAAAAGGAAGAAGATGAATTACACTTGAGACAGGCGGAGTTTCGGATACCTATGGGATGTCCAAGTGAAAAGGCTCCGAAGTGGAGTTCAGAAGTGAGATTTGAGTTTGGAGGTCCTGAGGTATAGAGTCCTGAGTGGTGTTCAGGGCTGTGAGAATAGAAAACAAAAAACCACTAGATCTATGCTCATGCCATCATGTGCCAAGATAGCTGCCCACAGCTTGATGGTTTTGGGCGACTTTTTTTTTTTTACTTCTCCCAGAAATCGGGAAGGAAGGCTGAGGGAACCCGGGGGCATCATTGAGGATCATTTTTCATTTTTATCCAACAGGACCCATTCCAAAGGCAGTGGAATTAACCTGACCACATTCTCAGTTTACAGGAGACGTACGAAGCCAAAAGGAATGAGTTCCTTGGGGAGCTCCAGAAAAAAGAAGAAGAGATGAGGCAGATGTTTGTCCAGAGAGTCAAAGAGAAGGAAGCGGAGCTCAAAGAGGCGGAGAAAGAGGTAACTGAGCGCCCAGGTGCCAGGCTGGTCAGGAAAGGAGGCTAAACTCAGGCATGGCAAGGGTTTCTTCTACCCTAGAGAGCAACCAGTGGGGCCTTGCAGGCTGTGGGCAGAAATAGGAATGGTATTTGTAGTCTTGCTTTGGTGGGCACAAAGTGGGCTGCAAGACATGGTCTCACTGCTTTATTCCCCAGGGCTGAGATGTGTTCTCATTCTATATTATTTCGTTCTCTCAAGCTGTGCTGCCCCATTAGGCAGCCACTAGCTAAATGTGACAGTTTATATTAAGCAATCAGCTGCTGACCAAAAGGTTGGCAGTTCAAATCCATCCAGAAGCACCTGAGAAGAAAGGCCTGGCAATCTTTGTCCCAAAGGTCCAAACCATTGCCATCAAGTCAATTCCAACTCATGGTGACTCCAGACCAGTCCACCTCCAACCCCTCTCCCATGAAGAAGGAGCACGTGATGCCTTCCAAGTCTGTCCCACCTTGAATCTGCTGTGATTTTTCAGGGTTCATACCAATGCTGGTAGCAAGAATGTCAATTTGATTTTAGTTTCACTTTTCAAAAGAAAAAATGTCACTCTGGGTTTTTAGGAGGAGAAGTGAAGGGGTCGCCCATGACTAAAAGTCAAATGAATGAAAACCAGGTGAAAATAACTTCTACCATCCCATCCAGAATGACGACGGAAGTTAGTTTATATAACAAGGCCTGCCATCCCCAGACCTTACTAAATGACAGTTCCAAATACCCGTAGAACCTGGGTAACTGACTTCCTTTACGGTGTGCTGCAAGTGCTACAGGGTCCTAAGTGCTCTCCCGAATCCTCAAAAGAAAGTGAAGCTATGCTTGATCGGCATAGATAGTCAGGGTGCTTTATTGAATATCAACTCTATTCCTATACCTCTTGCTCTCCAATCCACGGATCGCTATAGTCTACCAGACCATTCTTGCTGTTCTTCATTGGGCCCCTGGTTCTGTTGAGGACTAATTAAGCCCTCCCTTTGGTCAAAGCTGATATCTCCTTAGTCATTCCATTTTTATAAAATCCCCTTGTCTTTTGTCCGAGTCCAAGAGTTTTCTGTGACCAACTTTAGCAATGCTGAAGTTTTCTCTGCAATCCATGGCAGGCCTTCCTGATTGCAGGGAATAAGAAAGGGCAAAAGGCCCCATTTATATTGGGAGGTCCCATTATACAATCTTCTAAAATTGGGTTTCTCAATTCCTAGCTGTGTAACCTTGAGCAAATTCCTTAACCTCATAAAATGGAGATAATAATAACATGGCCTATTTCAGGATGGGAGTTCTGGTGTGGCACTTGGATGATAAGCACTGAACTGCAAGGCCAGCAGTTCAAACCCACCAGCTGCTCCTTAGAAACACTGTACAGGATCGCTATGAATCAGAATCGACTAGACTGCATTTAGCAACTTAACAACAACAACATCTCAGGATTAAGAAGCCCTGGTAGCATTGTAGGATAAGCATTGTCTGCTAATCACAAGGTTGGCAGTTCAAAACCACTAGCTGCTCTGTTGCCATAAAGGTTTATAGTCTCAGAAACACTATATAGGGTCACTGGGAGTCAGAATTGAGCCGATGGCAGTGAGTTTCTTGTGTTGTGACAATTAAATGAGCTAATACAATATAAAGTGCCAATGTGAGATGATTAGAAATGATATCATTAACCACGTGTGGTAGCTGTGGAGGCATTTAAACAAACTGTTTGATGAAGTAGACTGTGGTGTTCTCTCACAGATTCAGAAAACAATCCAGAAAGAACATGGTGTCCTTTGGTGGCCTCATGGCAGGCAGAAATGTCTTCCAAGGTCCCAGAGTCCTGTAGGATTACAACCCTGCCAGCACCCACCACACTGGCTGGGCTGCGGACTCTCCCAAAACTCGCTGTCCTTCCCCTCCAGCTGCATGAGAAGTTTGACCGGCTGAAGAAACTACATCAGGAAGAGAAGAAGAAGCTGGAGGATAAGAAGAAAACCCTGGACGATGAAATAAATGCTTTCAAGCAGAAAAAGGCGGCTGCTGAACTGCTCCAATCCCAGGGTTCCCAGGCCGGAGGGTCACAGACTCTGAAAAGAGACAAAGAGAAGAAAAAGTAAGTGGCCGGCTGACCTGGGTGGTGGCTGTATTCCCCTCCTGCTCATCCCCTCAGGGCAGGGCCTGGAGGCCAACGGTTGAGCACTGGTGATCAGAAGTGAGCTGGGGGTGCTGTTAAACCAGTTTAGCCATTGGTCTCAGTATTCCTGGGGAGCCTTTGAATTCCTGTGAGATTGAAGAGCTAAGAGAAGGGGAGAAGGAGAGGAAAGCAGTAGGGAGGGACGTAGTAAGGCCTTGCCAACTTCAGGTAGGAAGTAGAATGAGGAAAAGCAAAAGCGTGAAAACAGTAAGAGGTACAAAGTGAAAACAGAGAGAGGCACAAAAGGAAAGGCAGATAGAGAGGGCGGAAGGAAAAGCTTTTAGCAAAGGTTAGAGCTGATCTGGCTTCCATCCAGCTTGATGGTTCTAGATCTTGATGGTTCTCTACCTCCGAGGCATGTTCCCACCTCACCCTGTCTCAGTTCTCATTCGCTGTAGCCAATTGAGCTTTGCTGATGCAGGCCACAGCCCGGTTCTAATTTCCCCATCCCTCCTGGCTGCTTCTTTGTTCCTGGCCTGGGGTTTACTGAGAACTCACTGGGGGAGGTGAGGATGCCTATACTCTGTGTGCCCTCTCCTCCCTCTGGGGAATGATTAGAAAGCCAACCTGAATCTCCTGGTGCTTGGTAAGGCAGGATAGCATGGGCAACTGGTTACCAATCACGTGGGGGCAATAATCCTGATTCAATCTCAGTCTTTTCTTGCTAAAACTACCCACTCCTTATCCCAGAATTAGAGAAAAGCATCTCTTATGGAATCTATACAATGTCAAGAAAGTTTCAACAATCCCCTTGCATTCTGTAACTGTTTGTGCTACGTGACCTGGAATGTTTCACAACATCCTTACTAGTAAAAGATGCCCATAGTTATTGCCTCGTATTTTTAGTCGCTTGGTCTTTGACTCAACTCCACTATTGGGCAGAAGGAAAACAAGTCTCCTTGCCTTTGTCCCTGTTTTGTTCCTTTGGGATAAAACAGCAATTTGTGTCCAACATTAAAAAAAAAAAAAAAATCTCTGTTTCTAGGCATTCAGTTTTGCGATCTAGTGATTATTCATTATTTAAATTTTTTAGCATTTTTCCTAATTTGTCCGGAGATTTTTGTGACCAAATCATAGCACTGTAAGACAAAATTTATTGATTTATTGATTCTTTTGATATTTATCTTATGGATGAAGTTCAACTGACCACCACCCCCCCCACCCCCCAATGTCTCTTTGGACATGCCATATATTGTATGCTGCGACAGCAGAAACAGATTCTTATTTTTAAGATCATGAAAAATCTGGATTTTTCTTCCAGCTCTAACTTTCTGCCTTCACATTTCTGTGACGTTTTTGAACTCAATTCCTAGGAAAGTTTCACCACCTGCTTTCAGGAATTAGATTCTTTTTTTTCTGACTCCATTAACACTAAACTATAAGGATTCCGTAATCGAATGTTCAGAGAAAGTCCCTCACAGTTCTCCAGGTTTTCCACCTTAATTGCCTCAAATGTAATGACACCCAGGCAGAGGCCCTGTGTGAGGAAGCATGTGTCTCCACTCTCTAGGAATATTTGGTGTTGGTGACAGTGCCCATTTCCAATTTTCTGAGGTGGCTGAAAAACTGAGTGGCATGTGACATCTCACATCAGCAATAAGAGCCTAGCGAGTCCTTTTCCAGATTTCCAAATGTATATAAGTGGCCCCAACTCTAGACTTCCTACCTAATTCCTTGAACAGTTGGTTAACTTCTAAAAGTCTCACCATTCAACTTAATATCACTCTGCTTCCATGGTGATGGTAGTGGGTTTTCAGGGTAGAGGTGGTGGCACTAACATTTCTTGAGAGATGGTGGTTGGATCTAACAGAGTCACCCATTCAGAATTTCCTTTGGTGGGCTTTACAGAGATTAAGAAAGAATGCCTGTGTTTTAGGGGGCCCTGCCGTCCCCTCCTCCCTTCTTCCCCTCCCCACTCTTCCTAATCTTCTCCTTTGACCTCTAACGCCTCATGATTTGTGTCATCATCATCAGCTCTTAATGTTTTTCAGTTAACTCTGCTGTTTGCTGCATGCTGCATGAGACCCTGGGTCCTGGTAAGCTTTATTAACTCTAAATCGAACTGGTAGTGCCTCCTAGAACACATTCTCTGAAATCCCCCACCCGCCCCCACATACACACCTACACAAGCACATCTGTAATCTTAAAAAAAACAAAGCTGCTTCATCGGTCTAGCTGGTTTCCTCTTGTGACTTACAACATTAAGAAATAGCTGGGTATGGTTTCGAGTGTGCTTGCTTGCCTAATTAAAGAGGGAGAGTTTCCAGACTTCTGATGCTCGAACAGCTGGGTATCATAGATGGATCCTGTGATCCATATTTGAGGTTTTAATTTTGTCCTTTTCTGTCTTAAAAGGCCCGACTCCTCAATGATTACAATCAAAATTCATTCCGTCACAGTGATGAGGGAAGCTGAAGGGCTCATAAGTCCTGTCTAAATACCAAAGTCAGCATCAACCGCCAGGTTCAGACATGCTCCCAGCCATTGGAAACTGGCTTCTGGGTGTCCCTCTGGTGGCACTTTCTTATCTGAGGGGTTCACATTCTCAAATTTCCTTTGGCTAGTGTGGCGCTGTAGGATTAGCACTGGACTCCTTGGAAACCCTACACAGGGTCGCTATGAATTGAAACCGACTTGATGTCAGTTAACAACATGTACTCCCCTAAAACCATAATAAAAATGCAAGAAAGGGAAGAGGGAATTTCATCCATTTAAATCTACAATTACCAAGTCCATAAAAACCTTTGATAAGGAGGTAACCTTTGGTGAGAAAGATTCCTGAGGTGCTGTAGCCACAGAAACAGGAAAAACAAAACACTCCTGGGCTTCAGATATCTTATAGGGAACTGAAAGCAATGATTAGGTACCTCTATAAGGGAGCTCATGGAGTCCTGGTGTGGTGCTGCGGGTTAATGCGCTGGACTACAGAGTCCGTTTGAACTACAAGGTCACTGGTTCCAACTCACCAGCTGCTCCTCGGAAACCCTATACAGGGTCGCTATGGGTCAGAACCGACTCAACAGCACTTGACAAAAACAACAACTACAGAAGGGAGTTCTGGTAGCATAGAGGTTATGAGTTGGGCTGCTAACCTCAAGGTCAGCTGTTCGAAACTACTGGTCATTCCATGGGAGAAAGATGAGGCTTTCTACTCTCGTAAAGATTTACAGCCTCGGAAACCCATCATTATGAATCAGAACTGACTCCACTGCACACCACCACCACCACCATAACTTTCTGGGTGGCACAAACCATGCACAACTACTAGCCTAAAAGTTGGTGACTCAAATCCACTCAGAGGCACCTCAAAAGGGAGGCCTGGTGAACTGTTTCTGGAAGGCCACCATGACTCTATGGAACACTTCAACTCTGTACACACACCTTGAGTCACAATCCACTCGACAGCGATAGTTTTGTGTTGTCTTTAATTTTGTCTTTTTTGGGGGAGAGGGATGGGGGGCATAGGTACCCTACTTGTAGAGTCCATCAGTGGTACTCATGGTTAAAGGTTGGTGGTTTAAACCCACTCTGAAGTGCCTCAGAAGAAAGGCCTGGTGATCTGCTTCAAAAAGTCATCAAAACCCTGCAGAGTGTAGTTCTATTGTACAACGCTACAATCTGAGGTTGCTGTGAGTCTGTTGTTTTTTCTTAACTACTCTACTAGACTCAGGTAGTGGATGAGTAGGGAATATAAATTTTTTAAAATTTAAAACCATTATGTTTATTGTTTAAAAAACAAAAAATACTTTATGGTGAAAACTTTCAAGCACGAAAGACGAGAGGAGAGTACAACGAAGCCCAGTATAATTGCAATCTAGCTTCCAGACAACACTGGGCAATCCCATTTCATCTATTTTCCCCAACCTGATGAATTATTCTAAAGCAAACCCCCCCCCCCCCATCGCTTTCTCTGTAAATACTTTAGGAGTTATCTCTAAGGAAAGAAAATATGGCCAATTGACAATCATTCCTAGTCAGTGTTCAGTCTCCCGATTGTCTCATAAATGTCTTTTTACATGCGGTTTGTTTGGATCAGGGAATATCAGATATTGAGAAGGATTCTCCCTCTCCCCAATGTAGTTTATGATTTAAATGGAGTGCCTGCTGTTAATCACCAAACTGATTGCTGTAGCTATTGCACTGGGGGACTTTGGCAGGTGGCAAAACATCTTACTTTTCCAGCAAATCTCAAAGAAGAAGTCCATAGAGACTTCTGAAACATAAGGCCCATGAAACTGGGCCAAATGAAATGATCTAAAAGAACAATGAGATAACTTACTGTCTAGCTGAAAGCTTCTGCTCGTTGACTTGAATTAAACGGCAGATTTCCATGGAACAAGACAATCAATTCTTAGAGTGTCGTGTTCACAGCTGTCCTGTCGTCTCAGTGCCCAGCAAAGCATCTGACACACAGTAGGAGCTTAGCACTTGCTCATTTTCTTTGTTCACCCATTTTCAATGAGAGCAGGAAAGAAAGCTGTATCCTGGTAAATTTATTCAGGTTTCATTGCACATGGTTTGACATAATTTTATTCAGGTTTCCCTGAGTAAACCATTGTTAGTAGCCATTACTAAAATGGATTCTGGCCGAACTATCATTAAGGCCACATTTTACACGTGGGAAGCAATTGGTAAACAGCTGGAAGAGCAAGCGCCAACAAAGCAGGTTTCTCCATAGCAGATCACAAAAACAGTTCCAGACCAAATACTGGGGGGAAGCTTTTGGCTTCCCGGGATCTGAAAGCAGCAAAGGCAACCCACCCCCCTCCCCAGAGCCCTCATTCTAGAGTTGAATCACAAAGACCACCTAGAAAGTAGGCAGAGTAAGGCTTTCTGTTCTTCACCGGTTTTGAAATTGCTTGACGCCCCATTTGTAGCAGTCTTCAGTTGTAAGAGAAGTTCCATTTGGGCCAGTGCAC